CTTTTGTTTTCCACTAGATAGTCTTGGTGCCCTGATTGTCTCGAACGAGTTTATAGGCTTAAAAGATGACATTTCGTCGTTTCGTTTCTAATACATTGCTCGTGTAAAAAGTGATATCGATTTGAAATTGAGTGAAATATTTGAAGAAAGACGCTATGTCAGGAAAAAGGGCTATGTGAAGGCACTAAACATCGACCGCACGACAGTTTGGAATGATTTGAAAAGAGCAGGCTGCAAAAGGAACCTCGAAAGATGACCAAAAAACCGTGCAGATCTTATATATATATAATGTATACATGTACGTGTATATATATATATAATGTGGTTAGTTGCTCTTGACATATTATTATCGTTATTAGCATAATTAATTTAGGTAGAGAAATAAATTTTCAGAATAAAGTTTTAAAGGACTAGCATCGAAGGCAGGTGTGGGCAACTTTTAATTTTCAAATGGGGTATCGAAACAAGATCTGGTAGTGAAAGCTTTATATGAAAGGGTGGTCGGAAAAGTGGCCCAGGGTACCAAGTGTTATAAAAATTTCTGAAAAATTTCTATCTGTAAGTTGAACACAAGAAAATAACACATGTGGACAGACGGACAGACAAACTTAAATTAATGCAGAATCACAACCGGTGTAATAAAAGATGGATCTATGACAAGTCCTTTTAGATGCCGCATACATCCGCACGAACTTAATAGATCCTTGTATCACAGCTTGTGTAGGGTGTAAAAAACAACAGTTCTAATAAAAGCGAAGAATATATGAACTTTATGGAGTTTTGCCTCATCCGACTTTGTCAACACAAACGCCACCAACACATGCTTAGGACGCAGTGTGAAAAGTGACAGTCAATAGATAATTAAAAAAAAAAAAGTCAAAATAATAATAAACTGTCATGTTATCTGTTAAATCAATCGAAAGTAATTGCGTTTGAAAAATGAGAAAATTCTTTTTATATATTTTACAATATGACTTGAAACGACCAAAGCGGAAACGACGCCTGCAGGGCCTGTAAAAAACATTTTTGGTTTTCATATTTGAAATGCTTAGCAGCGTTCGAAGGAACTGCTGAAAGACCGGTCTTGAAAGAATTGATCCACATTTCATCCTACGACGACGTCATTGGAACACTAAATGTTTTGAGTCATTTGCGAAAGGCAGGATACAAGGAAAAAGCCTGATATTTGGACATAATATCAGCTAATAATAGAGACACAAATGGATCATGAAATCGTTGCTGAAACGAAACGAAATCGAAACATTTCTAAAAAGATTGATAACGCGCGAGAGAAGGCGAGTAACATATGAGAATAATGAGAGAGAAAAATTAGCGATCCAAGAGGGATAAAAATACGTCAGGCTTGGTTTGGTTGTATTAGCAAGCGAATCGTGCGTGAATAGGTCGTTTGTCTGTCCATATAAATATCTGTTTAAGCTACAAGTCGCAAAATCTTTGAGATATTTGGGTGAAATTTGGTCCACTGACGTATTTGACTCAAAGGTGAGCTATTGAAAATAGTTTGGATCGGGACACTCCCCACATAAAGCTCTATTTAATAAGTCGCTAAAGTGATTAATTAATACTATTTCGACATTCTAAATTGTTGTGAAAACTTTGGACCAGCTGGGCCAATTTTTTGAACTCCCTCTCATATAACGAAAACTGAAGTTCGTATAACAAACATCATCATCCGTCTGTCCATTTTGTGCTTAACTTAGGGACTGCAATTTTTAAAATATTGCAATGAAATTTGATACACTGGTGGTGTTCTGACCCCAAGAACGCTACGGCAAATGGTTCGGATCAGATCACTTTTTCGACAACTTCCTATATAAAATCGTATTTCGAAATATCGTTATAGGAACTATAGTGTGGTCTTAGGTTCGTGGCACACTCCAGCGTTTTTACTTGTTTTCTTTATTTATCTACGCGACAGTAAGCCTTATCCTCAAAGTCGCCACATAATTGATAATGATTATTGCTTATCTACACATCTGAGAAGCGCACAATTTTTTCCTATGCATTTAAAAACAAGTGAATAAATGTAGTAATAAATATGACTAATTAAACTAATTGAGTTCACCTTAAGTCATTTCGTGTATAACTGCTAAACACTTTGTTGTCACAGAACTAATATAACGAAAACAGAGAGTATGTAAGCACAAGTTAGTTAGTTATGAGTAAAAGAAGAAAGAAAAATAACTTAAAATATTATAGAGAGGCAAGAACAACAATTAAACACCCTACGCCAACTGAGATAATGCAGTTAATTCAATTACTATCGTGATCGTACAAAAAAAATTATACATCGAAAGATGCCCAAGAAGTCAACTGATGTGATGTAAAGTGAAAGGTTTCACTAACTTTTAAACTTACAAACTGCTCTTTACCACTCTCTAAGAATTTATTATTCATGAAAATCTGTACATAGTGCGATCTAAAAAATCGACCTATGTAATCCGGATTACTTACGATTTGTTTCATGCTAAACTCCTACGATTGAATTAATGTTCACCATTAAATACAAGAATTTTTGCATAGACTGTGATCCACAAAATAGATCCATATGATCAAGATTTTTTATGAAATATTAAAAATTTGACATTTTTATCATACAAAGACTGGTTTTTCATGACAATCCCTGTAAGGGGGGAAAAAAATAGACTTACCTGATCCAAACTCGGTAAGGTTAGTTTTTATGTACTAATATGGATCAGTTTTCATCGTCATCAGAAAATAAAAAGTTACTTTTTAACATTTGAAGGTTCAATTTTCCTAGGAACAGTTATATAATAGATGGTTGAAAAAATGATCTCATCCGATTCAAATTTTTCGCATTAATATGAAATGCTATTACTCAGCGATTTTTGTCGAGAAATTTTAAAAATATTAACTGTTTTTTATATAACGATCTTACAACGTAAGGCGTTATATGGGGTCTTTTAGCAAAAGTATTTGTACAGGGTTCGTTATTAAGCCAATTAACGTCTGCTTACTAAATTTCGTCAAAATATTGAAAAAATTCTGACTTGGAATGCCGAGCAGGCATTAAGTGGATAGATCGACAGATAGACAGACAAGCTTAAATCGCATCAGAATATGATTCTATGAGTTGATTGGGTGGGTTGAACACAAGAACACAAGCTGAGACATCACATGAACATTTGGACGGACAGATAAGCTTAGATCAATTTATAAAATGATTCCGAGTCGATTGGGCTTGGGTTGGGTTAAGTCCAAGAGCACATGCGTAGGCATCAGACGGACAGCGGACGGGCAGACAGGCATAGATCGATTCACGAAATATTTCTGAATCGATAGAGTGGGTTGAACATATGAGCATAAGGGCGGACATTAGATGGACAGACGGACAGACAGACAAGCTTAGATCGATTCGCAAAATGGTTCTGAGTTGATCGGCATAACAAAGGTTGAAACTAACTTAAGTTCTTCTAGATGTTGTATGCATTCGCACAAATTTAATATATAAGATTTGGTGTAGGGTATAAAGAGAGTGAGCTAGAAAAAATATGTAATTAATGAAATGAAATTTTTTTTTTTTGTTTTTTTTTTTGTTTACATTGATTCATTAGAATTTTTTTTTGTTCGTGCCTCCGAGTTCATGATTGCATTTCTGGTTATTATTATGCAAGTGGGTGTAAACGACGTAGGTGTGTTCACATAAAGAAAGAGCAAAAACTTTGTACGTTTAATTGTTAAAAAGTTCGCATACAATTTACGGTTGATCGTTCCTTTTTTGTTTTTATTGTTTCGTCTCGTCTCGTTTCGTTTTGTTGTTTTATTGTTCAAAATCGGAATATTTAACACATAAAGTGTGTGTTTGTTGACGCATATTTTTATTTTTGTATGTGCAATCTTTTTTTTCTTTCTCTTCTTTTTGTTTTTTTTTTTTTTTTGCTTCACAATTATTTTTAAAACAACAAGAAAAACACTAACTTGTGTACGATATTTGATTGCAAGATGAAGTGAAGATTCATTTAGTCGATATATATACAATATGGTATATATATCGCGCATTGTACATATCAGATAGCAATTGTACTGAATTAAAAAACAAAATTTGGGATAATTTTGAAACATAATTCAAAATCATTTTTCTTATTTTATAATTTGTTTTTTTTTTTAATTTTAATTTTTTTTTTTTTTTATAAAACAAGTAAAAGCGTTATAGCTGATCTAGAACGATTATTAAATATGCTACACCGGATTGTGTAACACTTGTGTAATACTTACTTTTATCATAGAACGCAAATATTATACTTTGTTATACCCTACACCACCTGTGGTACAATGTATATTAAGTTGATGCGGACGTATGCAACAAGCAGAAGGTCTTAAAATAGATCCATATTTTATTATACCGATCGATTCACAATCGTAATCTGAATTGATTGAAGCCTGTCTGTCCCTCTGTCCGTCTAATGTTTGTGCAAGCTATATGCCTTACCGATAAATAAGCAGGAAATCTCAAAAAAGTGAAAAAATAAAATTGAATTGTTCCTAATTTTTTATGGGCATGGCCGATTGTTTCCACTTTAGGATCTAGAGAGTAAAGTGTCTCGCAAAGTAAATGTGGAAGGTTTCAGTCTGCTAAGTTTTATAATTTCCGAGTAACGAGCAAAAATCGAAATATTTCTCTTAAAAAAAAAAACGGAGTTGCATTCAGTTTACACTTCACTGCGCCGTTCTGCTCTGACCAATTTGGCCCATTTTCAATACCAACCTGCGTGCAGGAACTTCCAATATTTCTCCAAATTTGAAGCCGATATCTTAAATTTTGTCAACAGCAGAGTGAACAAAGACCACACAGACGGACCGACATGACTAAATCAATTCAGAATTTCATGCTGATCAAAAATATATATACTTTATAGGCTTTCTTTTGGGAAAAAAACAAAATGAGTATGCCCCCATCTTACGCGGGTCGGCATAATAATAATTATAATAATAGTGTTTTACTTTCTTCTTCTTTTTAGTTTTAATACAACACTGAAAAGAATTTTGTATAATTCTGTTATACTGACACGGGGGAAATCATGACCATGCCAACACGACCGGCACCGGCACCGCCTGCTTTGCGCGGACAGAATGCGGCTGCCAATGCCAATGTTAGCCTACAGCAATTACGTTTACTACAACAGCAACAACAAGAATTAAACCAACGACCGCAACAATATAATGTTACCGTACCAAAGTTAACTATTAAATTACCTCCGCCAACAAAAAGTTCAGCAGCGATAGAAACGTCAGTTAGCGCAAGTAATGACACAATTAATAGCAATTCTTTGGCAAGGAAATTTCCTCAAGCCCGTTACACACCAGCCACGAATTGGAGTGATTCACCGTTCGATTTGTTGACAGACGGAGAGACAATAAATTCGACAGTGCCGAATAAAGGTAAGAAGACAGCACCGCCGAGACCGCCGCCGCCTAAGATAAAGCCGAAGACAAGAGCACCCACACCGCCTGTACCGCAATCCACTAACATTCTCAGTAACATTTTCCAACGTAAAAAAGCGTCCAAAGCAATTACGGCCAATACAGCTTCTCGGATATACAATTCGGCGGCTTACGGTAGTACTGCGACCTTAGCACAAAAGCCACAACAGCAACAACAATCAATTACTTTGCACACCACCAGCAATTGGAATGCAGCTTGGAATACAATACCGAATTTATGCCCTGGCTCTTTAAACTCGACGCAGCAACAAGAACCTCAATTGATAAGCTTCGATTCGCCGCCCAGTTCACCAACATTTACCCAAAAGTCAAATAGCGATTGCTTGAGCGTAGACAGTTTTAGTTCAGATTCGAATTTCAGTTCGCCCAACAATGGTAGCGTTTCGCAGCCTGAAAGTGGTTTTGAGGATGATTTTGGTGCGGCTGGACGATCACGACCCACCACTACTAGCCCGTTAGATCCGTGGGAGACATTTGGCAGTACGGATGTAAATACACAGAATGATTACGGTAGTATTGGGACTGCCCATGTACGTAATCTCAATACGATAAACGCCCGAATACACAACAGCCAAGACAATCCATTGTGTAATGGAAAAAGTTTAGTGCCACCCACGCCGGCTCTTAATATGCCCACAATTATTAAGCCGAAATTATCTCAAAAACCGAAAGCTCCAAACCCACCACCAATTCAAAAATCTAATAACAGCACCCCCTCCACGCATGGTGATGATTTTACAAGTCCTCCCTCGCCACCAATGCCGAAATATGCACCACCGCCACCACCACCAACAGCAGCCATATCAAATCCAACGGTATCCCTATTAGACGTAATATCCGGGAAAGCTGATGCTCTTCTACTCGGTGCGAATAATGAAATAGGTGCGACTATTACTTCAAAGCAACCTTACGGTATAGCTTTATATGACTTTGATAGTAACGAGGAGGGAGACTTATGCTTTCGGGTAAGGAATCGATGTATTTTAATACTTGTTTAAGTTACTTACAGTTTTTTTTCTTTGTATTTTAGGAAAACGAGAAAATCTATTTACTTGAAGAAATCAGTGCCGATTGGTATCGAGGTCGTACACGAGCTGGCTGTGAAGGTATATTTCCGATTAATTACATTGAAATAAAGATACCGCTCACTGCAAAGGCCGAGTTATCTAAAAATCTTTCAACAGTATCTTCAAATAATAGTACACCTACTTACTCCGCCTATCCTAGTAATGTTAATCATTTACAAAACGTTAAATGTTTATATCATTTTCCGGCGGAGGTTGAAGGCGATTTGGAATTGAAGGTAAAAACTTGATCGATTTACGGAAAAAAAAAGTCATTGATTTTCATTTTATTGCATTAGGAAAACGATTTAGTTACTATATTATATAGAATTAATGAAGACTGGTTATTTGGCGAATCAAATGGCCGCAAGGGACAATTTCCGGCTAATTTTCTTGAATATGTACCAACAAATGTACCCACAATATAAAATAATGTTTAACTGATAATTTTCATTTAAAGGTAATTCTTACTTTCTCTGATGTTCAAAATCTAAATCTAATGTAACTAAAGCAAAAAACGAAATCTCTTTTAATCATAAGTATTTTCATGTAAGTGATATATATACTATATAAAATATATATTGATATGCCTATGATACGATAGAATCTCAATGTAAGCAAATTCTCTGTATATTTTGTTTCCATATACAGCTAACTCTTTTTTTACACGGCTGACGCTTTCTTTAGAAAAACGTGCAAAAAGATCATTTAAAGAAATATGAAATATGATAAATTTGGGGATATGCTCTATAACTTTTAAAAAATCGTGTCAAATGCAAAAACTCGAAAATTGAAATATTTTCCCAAAAGACCGTGCAAAAAAAGCACTAACGAAATTCGTATTATATATATTTATAAAAAAAAAACCATTCGTTTTTATTACAAAGAAAACAAAAATTAAAATTAATGTATAGTGAAAATTCCAAAAAGTTTAATCTGATAACAAGTGAGCACATGGACTAAGCTTTTGGGAATTTTATCGAAATCGTTTATTGCAACTGAGCGCTCTGATGCAAAATAAATACTGAATAACAAGATGTTCTGGTCAAGTTGAAGTACAACGAGAAAAACAAGAGCAAGAAAGTGATCGTGAAATTCAGCTATTCCCCCCGTAGTAGATGAAATCGACTAGTAAAGTCAAAATTAAAAGTAAAAAAAAAAAGATACAAAAAAAGATTCATGTATTTCTAGTTATGGGGGAACCGTGCTATTACGAAATAGGATAAAAAAAGAGGCCGCGTAAAAAAGACCGTGTAAAAAAAGAATTGAGTGTATATACACTCTTGATGCGACGAATGTATTTTTGCTATTGAAATTTCTACTTCATTTCGCAAACAAGTGTTCTTTTTACATACACGCACACGTACACAGACACAATTTTGCTAATTTGTTTGTTACACATTTTTCCTATACTAGATTATTAATAATTGCTTTTCATTTATATAAGAAATAATAGTTAGTTTAAATGTTTGATAAGTAAAATCCGATTAATTTTCTTCTTTTTTGTTTAATATGCTAATGCACAGCATAAATAAGAGAAAAGGGGAAAGATAAACCCATTATATCTGTTTGTACTTCAGAGTGTTCGTAAATTTTGGAAAAAGTAAACGCTCGTAAAATGCAAGTCAAAAATTGTAATTTATTAAGTTTTAATTTTAATTTAACAATTAAATTCAAATCCAAAATGATTCGATCATAATTATTGTTATAATTGTATTGTAGTAAATGTTCGAACTGCAATTGTGGAAAAGAAATGAAAAGAAATTAAAAATCTCATCTTTATGGATACATTTATAAGATCTGTTCTGAGATTCAGAAAAATGATATTGAAAATTGAATATATTGAATAAAAATGTGGGTAAAGAAAACTATATATTGAAGTGATTCTTGCTTGATACTGTAGAAATATGAATATATATATGTATCTATTAAACCTTTGCAACAGAAGTTAACATTTCATATTTGGAAACGTTTTCCCTGCACAACTAAAAACTGAATAATATTTTTATGTTTTTTGTTTTCCCAAAAAAAGTGTTCGGGTTTTCAAGACGGAAACAATATATCTGTAGATAAAGCTGAGAACGTTTTTTTTTTTTGAAGACAATTAACTCGGTCAAGAGTACTCAGTTTTTAACAAGCCCACAAAAACCGAGTAAGTAACCGACAGAAATTGAATGTGTTTTTTTAAAGAGAATGTGGCAAAATCCGAGCAAATACTACCACTTTTATGCCCACCAGTGTAAAATGGTCGTTTTGTTTTTTTCCTTAACATATATAATGCCGAAAAGGAAGCTTCAGAGACCCTATATAGTACAAATATTCTTGATCAGCGTGAAACACTAAGTAGATTCAGCCATTTCGGTTCGTCTGTGTTCTGTGTTGGCACTCTCCTGATCGCAAAAATGAAGATATCGACTTCAAATTTGTACAAACATTGGAAGTTTATTCACGCAGGTTGATATTGAAAATGGGCCAAATTGATCAGAGCAGGAGCGCACAAGTGGAACGTAAACTGAATGCAACTCGGTTTTTTTTAACAAAACTTTTTACATTTTCGCTCTTTCCTCGCAAAGTTATAAAAGTTAGATGGCTGAAATTTTCCACATTTGCTTTGCGAGACCCTTTACTTCGATGGGCTTTGGCAGCAGATATCTTCAAATCAAACAACAACCAAAATGAATGTCGAAAATGCAATTTTCAGGAGTCCATGTTTAGCGTCGATGTGCGCTGAATACATCAATAATATTAAACGAAAAATTGTTATTTTATGTGGAGGAAGGCCAAAACTATGAAATTCAACCATTATATATACTGGCATTTCCTACTTCTTTGCCATTTCTTTTTACCTGTAGAGGTCGCCGATCAAAATTTTTGCAAACACCTAATATTTTATTTATTTATTTATTTATTTTAATTCTACTTGTACATGAAACTCAACTAAACAAATAACAGTCGAATTCAATTGGCACTTAAAGCAAAACTTATATTAACCAATATTATTAAAACTTAGTATAAGTACAATAAAACAAACAAGAACGAAAAAAAAAAGAAAAAGGCATGTACACAACCAGCATAGAGCCACACTTACAACCGATGCAGGACCAAATTGCGAAGTTCCTATGAGAGGAATACAGTAACGTTTATAAACATAAAACCGAGATTTCTACTCAATTCCGAGAAACAAATTCTCGTCTCCGTGAAAAGTTTCCAAAAATCAATGTCCCCCTGCCTAGTCAGGACATGACCATCTTAAGTCTTTAGAAAGGTCAGCGACTGCGTCAGCAGCACGGCCCAGAATACCGGCACACTTTGCATGACCAAAGCGCTCGCAGAGCTAACAAGAAGCAAATCTATCCGATTCCGGGCAAGTTTTTGGCCGAAAAAAAAAAAAACCAAAGTAATGAAAAATTTTATGAAGAAATTCTAATGCCAGCGACGCGTTATTGCCACCCGAATTGAATCACAAAGTGGCCAGTTATGGACGTGGCTCGATTGGATTTATTATAAATGCCGACGGCAATTTTCATTTTGCAATGAATATGTTTAAAACAGATTTTTTCACTTATAAATCTGCCGTAACAAATTTTTGACTGATAAAGCTGCCTTAACAGGTTTTTTCACTTATAAATAAAGCTGCCTTAAAAGATTTTTTCACTTATAAAGCTGGCGGCTTTGCAAATTAAACGATCTGGCAATTTAAGTTGTTAGTTGGGCATTTAATCATTTAACAAAATTGCCATTTTTTGATTTGAATTGCCATTTTATGACGTGTTGCTCTGAATTTTGCTCGCAGCAACAAAAGATGGTAACTACTATCCTGTATGCAAGCAAAAAAGGAGACATGCGTATTAAATATAGCATACCTTTAGGATTAAGAGAGAAAAACAAATATCCTTTCAGTGTTGGCATCCTTCGATAAGAAAAACAAATAATAAAATAAATTTAATATAAAAAACTTGTAAATTTTTATAGAAATTTTTATTAAATAAGTTAAAAAACATAATATATTAGAAAATATATAATAATTTATATAAAATGGGTGACTATCAAACGAATGCAGATGGTAAAAAAAAAAATTTAAAATAATTTATTGTAATCTATTAATATCGAATGATGCTATTATTCTTTTTTTCCAGATGACTTAAATACAGAATCTGTGGAGGTATTACGAGAACGTTTGAATACAATGAAGCGATTAATGGCTGAGCGTAGTGTTCAACAGCAACAAAATCCAGCTAGCACTGAAGAAATTTGGTCAACTAGACGTCATACGCCCGGTATTATAGATGGGAATTTTTTAAGTATGGCCTTTGGTGGTGCTCTCTTAGTTATAGTTTCGGTTTCCGTTTACGCTTTTTATAATTTATATCATGCCATTTTAAAGAAATTCCCTTCTAAACACGAAGAATTATAAATTAATTGTGTAAACAAAAATGATGTTATATTAACATAGAAAATGTATGCATATATATATATATATTCCATTGGAAATTAAAGAGTCTTGATGATATTTGAAGTAGCAAAAGATTTTGTGGCGAAAAAAGTTTAAAGCAAAATTATTTTGACGTCGGATTAAACTTTTGATCCAGTTTCACTGATTTGCTTGGACTTGCTTTTCTCTTGCTGACCTTCGTAGGATTTAGGTATTGATATTCGAAGACGATTGATGAAGATGGGAACGAAACCTTAGATATAAATTTTGTGAGATTATGCTCTCTCGGTAATTGAAGCGTATATTAACGCTACACCATCATCAGGAAATTCCTTTATCCACTATCGTTCTTCGTGAAATTGTCTATAAATATGAATTTTCCTAGAATTGTTTGAAAATGTTTACAAAAACTACAAAATGTGATAATATATCTATCTTGTCGTCGATGATATCAATATATTTATTGAACGTCGAAATGTTTCATTAATGAATTGAGTTCCTTTGTAAATAAGTGCAAGTAAAATCTTCTACTTCTTACCTACAGCTTTTCGAATTTCTTCCGGCAATAATCATGATTCCACAGTTAAAAGATCTGCTTAGCAATTCGTTTCTATATGCCTTCGTTTAGATACGTAACTAAAAAATCTAATTCAAAGCACTTCCTCAAAATATCTTAAAAGACTGAGTAGTAACACAAAAATAATATTAAAGGAATACGAAGATTGAGAAGTCATCATATAGTTGAGCTTGCATTTAGAAATTAATTTAACTCTCTTGTTTAAATTACTTTAAAGAATTTTCTAAGTTTACGTAGTAATTTTTTATTTATTTAAATATCGTACTTACATGGTTGCGCTTCGTTTTGGATAAATTATAAAATAATTATGTAACTTATAAAAAAGTCAAATTATATTAGACATCATCGCTTTCTTTGCTATCATTCACGCTGAATATAATAAGAAACAAACCTTTATTTTATTTACTTGTTGTTGTCAAAAGACGAAAAGTAAACAGCTGACATTTCTTTCAAAACAAATCAAATGTGCATAGGGCGTAACAATTTTATTCGCAGAACAGGCAATAAAGGAATTCATAAGAAATGTACAGGAAAGTAAATTTTAGTCTCAGATATAGAATTTTACTCTTTCAAATATATTTCTGTCCCAGCGAATTTTCGGTTTTTAGTTTTCTGAATAACAGAAGAAGAGGAAGAATTTTAGTCTCAACAAGAGCGACAGAAAAAGTAACGTCTTTCATCGTAATTAAAATTTTTAAATGTTGCCAAAACTAATTAATGATTTTGCGATCGGATTAAATCTGACACCATAAGGTATCTCCTTTGTTGTCGGGTTAAAAACTACAAGTGGTAAGCCCAACTGTTCGCCGCGTTACCGCACTGTTTAATAGGAAAATGTAAACAAAAACATATGGTTTTAGAATCAAGAATAAAAAAATCAAAGCAAGCGTAAACAACAAAACTTTTTTATATTATTTATTAAATAAAATTGGATTATGGATCTAACATTAACTTAACTAGTCCAATCCATCTCTAAACAAACAAAAAAAAAAAAAAATTAAATAAAATAAGAAATGTAGCTTGTAAAATAAAAGCAAATTTGTAAGGCCGAAGATTTTACAAAGCAGAGCTGAATACAAAAGGAAAGGGCTTTTTCCACATATGTATAGTAGAAGGTAAGAAAGTAAACTAATTTGCTTGCCCATTGAAAAATAGGTTTTCAGATTTATTATTATTTTTTTTTGTATTTTTCCGAAACGTAAGTTAAGCGCTTTCTTCCTTTTTTTTTAAGTGTTGCTTATGCTTGTTAAACAGGTGATGTTCTGCTCCGCAATTGTTCCCATACGCCCCCATAAGAAAATCCAGCTGATTATGCTGCTTAAGATGCATAAAGTTTCTAGTACGAAAAAATTCAAGCGTTGAAAATTTTTTTTTTCAAGTTATTTATTATTATTTCCAATTGAAGACAGTCTGTTTCCGGAAGCAGAATTTTGAATTCAACCAAATGTTCTTTTGCTTCTTTCACTTTTGGAACGTGGTGCAAACTGGTTTCAAATCTTTGAAAATTTCCAATAAATGGAGAAATGTAAACCACGGGGGGGTTAGTTGCTTATAAAAAAAAAAGCACTTTGTAAAGTGAGACAAGACTAAGCAAGCATGTTTTGAAAATTCTGTATTGTGTGTCGACATAAGCTCCTCTTAATTTAAATCTTTTATTCTGCTTCTCTTTTTTTCAAGGTTTTTTAAATATGTCTTAGCGGTCTTTCCTATGCAATCAAGGCATTTTGCAAGAGCACGAAAAGAAATAAATTTAGAAAAATAAATAAGTACCTTTTTGTACTATTAGTTCCTCCACTTACACATGTTACCTGCTTACGCGTAGCATAAGTTTAACCTGAAAATTGAACCTTTCATTTTTCCATTCGTACATGACAATCACAAGAGGATCATCACATATATATTAAAATTTTAAAATGAAACAAAATATGAATTTCTTCTTATTTAAATTAAATCCTTTTATTTGATTCTTGCAGTACTTTTTCCGATTCTTCTTCTTCATCTTAGTATCTGATGGTAATTCAGAGAAGTAGTTGTTGTGAATTTCAATTTTCTTATCTATAATGGTAAATACAAGAACTTGCATAGTGACAACATGCCGATATAACCAAACTAAAGCCGGTAAAAAAAGGTCTATTTTTAAGTTCCCGCCTGGAAAATTACAAGAATGGTTGCGTATATTAAGTATTCCAGACTATATCAATAGGAAACCATTTTATATATGCGAAAACCATTTCGTACCAGAACATATAGACAAAAGTAGGCCACATTGCAAATTTACCGAGCACGCCATCCCGACACTTAATTTGCATGCCCATGAAATTGAAACGAGTGGATTAGATTGCGCAATAAAAAACGAACATAATGATTGCGATACGACATACAATACCGATGCGCCTAATGGATTAGATGGTGTTATAAAAACCGAAAATAAAGATTGGAATACGGCGCTCATTACGGATACGCCTAAAATTGAAGGGAATACATTAGATGATGTAATAAAGACCGAAAGTAAGGATACGACGCTTAATATGGTTGCGTCTAAAACTGAAGCGAGTAGATTAGAGGGCGGAATAAAAACCGAAAATAACGCTTGGGACACCCCATCAACCTCGGCCTGGCCAAGAACGAATTTGGCACAAATAAACGAAGATGAGTCGACACATTCCATCGCGGAAACCATCAAAGAGGAAAGTTCAGAAAACCTCGCAATAGATTCGACCTGGACAGAAAACTATCCTTTGCAATTGGTCTGGGAGGAAGGTAACTCCACCAGTCCCAATGACAATAGTCATGTAATAAATGAGCAGAATAAGAAGATAGCAACTCTGGAAAAGGAAAACAAAATGCTGAAAGAGGAATTATTGGCGTACAAAAATATGTACGGAAATCTCCGGCCGGACACCAGCAAACAAGCTAATGTTCGCAAATAATTTTGCGAAGAGAAAGCAAAGAACAAATACACTAAAGCAAAGAAAAATATCTGCTAAGATTTGCTTGCTTGCACTTTCAATATTGTTACGAATAAATGCAATTGCATTTAAGGTTCAAATTGCCAGAAATGTCGTTTCTGCGTAAAGACGTATGGTCAAATTGTTCGTCGCTAAAATAAATGACGAACACACAATGTGCCGCGTCGTAAACAAACACTTTTCAATTATTGAGAAGTGTAAAAAAATGTGTAGACGCTTATGTGCGCATTGGTAGGGATTTTAAGGAAGGTAAACTGGTCTAAATTAGTTTGAACGCAAAGCACCTTAATGAGGAGGCAGCTTATAACTATAAGAAGAATAAAGCGTCAGTACATGCCACTCGGTCGTATATTTGCCAGAAGCCGAAAGTTTTAGACGTAATGAGGCTTGATTACCTGATAAATGCAAGGAAAAGCCGCGGTTCCCTATTATTTGATACGTGAAAAGGAAATCGTTGCGAATACAAATAGAAGTAAAAATTAAAGAATAAAGATATCAACAAAAATATAAAAAACCAATACATGAAAAACAACAATAAGAAAATTAATGCAAAAAAAAAATAAATTTTGAATAGGTAATGAAACAAAGAAGTAAGAAAAATCACTAAATCAGAAAGCGTGATGGCTGTGGTGAGACCGGGTACCTCCTGGAACAGCTTACAATATGAATTCCATGTCTTCTCATATTCCAATAATGGTTTTCGCCTTAAACTTATCGACTCTTTTTCGCAATCATCCATGATTAGTACATGGATCTACTAGAGTGATCTGGGGTTGAGTTAATACTGGCAGGCAATTGCCATGTACTTCTTGATCGCTATCGCTTGATCTGTACCATTATTGGTTGGGGGGCTGTTTCAAGTCGTATAGCGAAGGGTGTGGCTACTTATTTCTATGTCGATCTACGGTACACGTATATCGTTTTGGCCTGTGTGGCTTGTACCGTTTGTTTGAATAAATAAAAATAAGTCGATCGCTGCTGGCCGATCCCCCTCAAAAAAAAAAAACAAAGTTAAACTTTACTATTTCAACAGCCTATGGTTAAACCTGGAATGAGTTGTAATTATATTTTTCGGCACAAACGGTACTGGATTTGCAGCGACCACTATACGGAGCATCAGGTTTACAATATGCACACACGGTACTACTATTACTACTTTTACAGCAACAACTATACACGGTACCAGATTTACAGCCAACCAATATAATGGATATAATAATATCCATCACTTTCACTTATTGCTTTCTTATGGCAACATCGTTTTTTCATTCTTCTTCTAGTTCAACATTAAAAACAAAAACAAAAGCACGTGCACACATTAACATGCATACGCGAGGATCAAGGGAAGATTAATTTCATTAAAATTTTTGTAAACACATTTATTTTATGAGCCACAAAACTTATTGGCTTAGTCGAGTGTTACATCTTAATATACACATTAAAGTGATAAGTAACTAGAAATGGGTCTAACTAAGCAATATTTGGCTTATCGTGCTGTTGATAGTTTTAATATAATAGCGAGCGGCAGAGCAAATGTGAATTTCGCTATTTACAATAGAATCCAAGGACGCTATTTTGCCGCTGCCGCTGCTGAGAATGTTATCTTATGGGATTTAAGGTAAGGTAAGCGGGAAGTGAAAAATCGAATTGCTTTAATTGATGAATGAATATGCCAACTTTCAGGTTAGGTGAACGCGTATTAACTTTAAGAAGAGACAAACAAGAAGTTACGGCTTTACGCGCTTCGCCTGATCGTCTACATGTCGCTGTTGGTTACGTCGACGGCGCGGTGGAAATATTCGATTTGTCGAATCCCGAAGAAAGTATTTGCTTTTTAGCTTTGCATAAGAGTGCTGTATCCGTCTTGCGTTATGATGACCAAGGTATACGTTTAATAACGGGCAGTTTAGATACCGATCTGGTGGTTGTGGATACTTTGGAACAGGCGGGACGTCAAAGATTGATAGGTCACAATGCTCCCATAACGGATGCTCACTTTTTAGAACGTCTAGCTGTGTACCATATCGCAGTAAGCAGTTCGAAAGATACTCAAATTAAATTTTGGAATTTGGAGACACAATTCTGTTTTAAAACAATTGTCGATAATCGTACCGAAGTGTGGGCTTTGGCTTTCACGGGCGCCCTAATGGTGGCCGGTTGTGGGGAGAGTACTATGAATGTTTATCGTTTAACCAGGAAAGACTCTAATGACGTTAAAACAAATGCTTCAGCAAACGCAATAGAAGGCTTAAGTGTTGACGACGACGATACCATATCTCCTATTAATATTATGAATTGCGGAGTTATACAGAGAGCGGGCAAAGGCAGGTGTGTAAACTTAATAGCAGATCCATCGGAGCGAGTCCTTAGCTGCCATGGCACAAATGATCTGATCGAAAATTTCTACTTTTGCACGAAAGATGAAGCTAAGCAACGTTTGGCTAAACGTTTGAAAAAAGCTAGAAAAGCCAAACAGATTAAAGAACCCGAAGAAGAAGAACAAGAAGACGATAACAATGATAAGAATTTAAGTTTATCAGACGAAATTAAGCGCTTAAATAGTATAAAAACAAGACAGAAAATCAAATCGCTCGATATACTACTAGGTGGTCAAAATGAATTAAGAATCTTAGTTAGTTTAGCAAATAATAGCGTGCAATTGTATAGTATGAAGACTACGTCCAAAGATGAGGATGCCAAAATGTTACGTTCTCTCAATTGGCAAGGCCATCAATCCGAAGTGCGCAGTGTCTGCTTTAGCTCAGATGGCTTAGCTATTGGCTCGGGCTCGGCGGAATCTTTTAAATTCTGGAATCGTGATTCAATGCAGTGCTTACGCTCTGTAAGTACAGATTATATTTTAAGTTGTGTTTTCACGCCGGGAGATCGCTATGTCTTGTTGGGCTTAAAGTCTGGAAAACTTCTAATAGTAGATGTAGGAGCCGCTGATATTGTAGAGGAGATACCTGCTCACGATCAAGAATTATGGTCTATAATACTGCTACCCGATCAAAAGGGATGTGCAACCGGCAGCAGTGATTGTACAGTAAAATTGTGGACATTCGAGCTAATTGATGCTAACATTAAAGAAACGGATGTAGATAGAGTAACGCCGATGGCCAATTCGAGGCAAGTCAAAGTTTTATCTTTACTACATAAGAATACCTTAAAGTTGGAGGAATCCGTTCTTTGCGTGCAAATCAGTCCGAATATGAAATATTTAGCTGTGGGTCTGTTAGATTCGACAGTTAAGGTATTCTTTTTAGATACGTTTAAATTCTATCTCTCTTTGTATGGTCATAAATTGCCGATATTGTGCTTGGATATATCTTACGATTCAACCCTAATAGCAACGGGTTCGGCAGATCGCAATGTAAAAATCTGGGGTTTAGATTTTGGCGATTGTCATCGGTCGCTATTTGCTCACGATGATTCGGTAATGGCATTGCAATTCATCGCCAAAACTCATATGTTCTTTACTTGTGGTAAGGATGGAAAGATAAAGCAATGGGATGCTGATACTTTCGACAAAATCATCACACTGCCGGGGCATATAGGGGAAGCTTACGGTTTGGCGATAAGCTCGAATGGTCGTTATTTGATTACGTGCGGCTCGGATCGCACTTTGCGCTTATTCGAACGCACCGATGAACCGATAGTGTTACAGGACATTCAGGAAGAAGAACGCGAGGAAATGGAAAATGAAAAATTGGCTACGGGCGAAGATCACGGTATGGCTTTGTTACCGGGCTTGAAATTGCCATCGAAAAAAACTGTCGGTTCCGAAAAGGCGGCCGAATCAATTTTGGAATGTTTGGATGTATGCAAACAATACGAATTGGAGGGTGAGATAACGCCCACTTTACATCCTTTAATGAAGGCGTTAGATGTGAAAACTACTACCGATTTTCTTTTAATTACCTTCGCACGCATTAGATCTTCTGATCTGGAGGAGGCGTTACTATTATTACCATTTCCCATGGTTTGCGAGTTATTAACACGCTTACCCTCACTAATAGAAAAGCGATCCGATGAAATTGAATTGATTAGCAAAGTGACAATGTTTCTGTTTAAGATACATATGAAACCGATAAGTGGAGCTAGGCATATGAAATCCTTGCTGCAACAGATCATAAATTTATTAACGTCCGAGGTAAATGCTTTACGTGATTGCATTGGCTTCAATTTACATAGCCTGGGCCTGTTACAAACCGAGGTGGAAAAACGTGAAGACATTGAACTTTTCTACGAAGCTCTTCAAGATAAAAAGAAACGGGAAAAGAAACGACGTCAACGTGAGACGCTTAAACGTCAACTTATACATATGGCATGAAATTAAGAAGACTTAAGATTAAGATAAAGTGAAATAAAAATGAAATGTTTTTAATATGTTTAAATAGCGTACAACACATATATTACAGAGAGATATAAATACATTAATGAAGAATACCTATATAGATCGATCTACGAAGTTCTCCGTGTAGAAGTATTCCAATGTTTTTTTTTTATTTAATTTTCTTTTTTTGTGCAAGTCAAGTTGTTTCATATATAAATTGCTGAAGACTGCTTGGACGTGAAAATATGACTTTGTATGACGAAGTGGACGCACAACAATCATTTTTCAGTTTTGAAAGTTTTCTTTCATCACAAGTAATCCAAATGTGGTCTTTCGTTTACATAATCTGTACGCAGGCATTAACCTTTTCTAACGGATCCCGTTTTTTGCTATAGCAGGCTGAAAGAAAATATAATAAAATGATGAGAGAGAGAGATAACGAATTTCCATATTAGAATTTCATATTTGCAAACATAAACTAGAACCGAATAACATTATCACTCGGTTCATCTTAGGAACGATGGCGTCGTAATATCTGAATATTATTGCTAGGTTTCCGCAATATCAAGCATCGCGTCTTGTCTAATTTTTCTATAAAGACTTTAATAGGAGCCATTACCGAAACATTTAGATGACTACACCCCTCTTGCGATAATATGCGAAGAAACTAAAGAAAATTTCCTACAAAATGTTCTAAAAAAAAAGTAAATTTGTTTCCTGTTTTTGATTCATCAAACATATGGACGGGAGAGAAATTTCATATTGCTAAATGTGCCTTTGGTCCACCAATTAAGTTTTTTATGCTAAAAACACATCTAAAATGCAGATAACCATCTTCTTCGTTTGATATTTTTGAGGTTAAGTCGAGACATTCGTTCGACTTCGAAGCGTGGAAAAAATTGTCGCATATCGTAACGTTCACTTTATTGTGACAATACAATTATACGATGGTTGAAAATTTACAATTTGTTAGAATTATTCGAAATGAATAATGTTCCTATTACGCACACAAACATTAAGCGCGAATGCAAGGTATGCAAGTCCCCTTTTACACGTATAAGTTAAATATATATATAAAAAGCACTTACATCCGCATCGCGAGAACGTCCCCGGTGGCCCGTAGCTCAACTTTTGTATGGTGCACTTTTCTATTGGACCCGTAGGTTTCTCATAATTGGATTGATTTGCCCAAGGGAGACTCTCTTTAGGTTGTATGCAAATCGGTAAATAACTAAGCTTATAGGTAGTGCATTTCTCCATGGGACCTGCATTGCGTTCCACACCCACTTTAGGTACCACTGCATCAGGGCGACGATACTCGCATACGTCTACTGGCAGATATGATAATCGATTGATAGTACATTTTTCCATACCACCAGTTGGACGACAAATCAATGACATTGGTTTGATAGCTGCACGTCGGCAAACTGGTTTCGGCACAAAGTCATGTTTCTGCGTAGTTATACAGTATAATGGTCCGCTTGGTTTTATGCAATTCTCTTTTGGTTTTATAGGTGTGGTGCGTCCGACCATGCAGAAAGGTTGATAGGAAAGTTTTTGCACCGTGCAATTTTCCATTGGTCCGGTCGGCATTGCTAGACCATTGCTGGGTAAAATTGCTGGTGGACGAGTATAGCGTGCATCCGATCCTACATAGCTTAATTTATAGACGGTGTGATTGTCCGTCCGATCGGTGCCCAAAAACTTCAAACCAGTATTTGGTAATATGGCAGCTGTACGCTGAGGGCAGCAATTAGGTATATAACTAAGATTATAGGTGGTGCATAAATTCTCATATTTCGGCGGACATAAACGTTTTTGTTCAGCCCAAGGCATAGGTTCCTTAGGGGGTATGCAAATTGGTAAATAGCTAAGCTTTTGAACGGTGCATTTTTCTCCTGGTCCTGTGGGACGAATATAGGTAGCGGTTTGCACGATTGGTTTTGGCGGTGGATTCGTGCACACATCTATCGGCATATACGATAATCTATTCACCGTGCAACGCTCGAGTGGAGACGAAGGTGTGCATATGCCCGTAGGGGGAACGATTGGTTCACGTTTGCAAAACCCTTTAGGCACAAAATCATGTTTTTGCGACGACACCGCGTATAGAGGCCCTTTAAAATGCAAGCCATTTTCATGTGGCTTGATAGGCTGAGTACGTGCAGCGCACCAATGCGGCCTGTACGACAGTTTTTGTATGGTGCACTTTTCCATCGGCTCTTTAACAGTCGCCAAATGATTGCATGGTAAAACCGGTTTCGAGCGTCCGTCACCGCAATTGCCGATATACGAGCGCCTATAAATTGTATCACTTTCCATTGGGGCTGATGAACGCATTAAACAACCTTGCGGAAGTATCGGCAAAGTGCGCCTCGGTTGCTGGTAACAGCAGCCGGAATAGTCACCGCAATCACAACGGCACTCACACGGTTGCTCTGCCTCTTGAATACAAGGTGTATAGTCGGCAGGTGCTACGCAAGGATCACAACGCGGCGGACAATAATCACCACATCCAGCTTGCGGAGTGCTATCGCACGGATTATATGCCACATTTGCATTATTCTGATTATGCGTACCTTCCTCTGGCCCGTTGCATACCACGCTATACAATTGTACAATGTGTTTTTAAAAATTTGAAATATAATCTTAATAAGAGTTTTGCTTAAAAATAAATATGTTTATTCCTACGATTTTTCAGAAATACCCGTTTTTTAATTTTCCTGAAAATAGGCCCCCATTTAATTCCTATAATTACGAACACTTCAAGGCTTCTTGAAATATAGTTAACCTTTCTATGAATACACTTCGCTGAAGACTCTTCAATTTTCTTCAATTTTTCAAAATATATTTAAAATTTGTGGTTTTATTGCTCATGTAAGTTGATAAGTCCAAAAAAAAGGCTAGAAAAATCTCTCTTCAAATTCTTAGAATCAAGAATGATCTCTGTGAGAATGTGCATGTCTTGGAAAAGTCAGCAAGAATTACAGAATTGAACCCCCGTCTTTTGAGAGGTCGAAAAGCTCTACTAAGTAAAGAGAACAGGAAAGTTACAAAAGCCGTTGCGATATATTACAAATAAGACATCTTTGAGACGAGATGATTCGTTTCCAAGAAGTAAAGCTTGCAAAAAACTTGGCAGTTTAGAGTCCGTCTTCGCAACGGCGTTTAACAACATTGTTGTAAAAGTTCTTAAATCAAAATGTGGTTGTTAAAATTTTCCCCTTTTGTTTTCGGGCAGACATCAATTTGATTTTCAAACTTGACCTGTAGCCTCAAACTGAGAACAATTTCAAAATTCTATCGCAATTTTATGAGATCATAAAGACTTTAATGGCAGATAGATGGTCAACCTTGATTGGGATTATGGACATGCGGATATATGCGGATTCTCAAAAGCCTAGTTGAAAATTGCTTTCTTTTCCTAATATAAAATCGACTTTAGTGAGTATTTGTTCTCCGGGATAAGGCGAATTACTTACTTACTGCCAAGCATTCTGCCTGCCACTCATAAATCTTTCGCGTCGTCCTTAGACCAACGTGCAGGAAAAAGGATTAGGCCTATGTGTAATTATCAATAATTGCAAAGAGTTAACAGCCGAAAAATGGATTGTGGATGGACTTATCAAGGCAAAGTGATTTCAGGTTTAATACATAAACTTTCCTTTTCCCTTTAGGGCCCTGCTTTCTTCACGAAAGTTTATTTTATTTTATTTTTTTTTCTTACAGTGGAATTTCGGAATATATTGGCAGATGTATCTTATATAAGTCCCGTTTCCAGGTCCAGTTTCTTTTTTAAATTCGTCTAAAAGCCGACAATTGAAGCGATTCCTTTTAAAAGAACAATGCTTGCTGGATATATCTCATAGCAAATACAATCGCTTGGGTCATTGGTTGAACAGAAATGCTTCCAAAGACAAGTTTAATCAAAAATCTGTCGACATTTATGATTAAAAGGATGCGAAGCAATGCCACATCCTCCGAGTCGACACAACTCATAAACTCTCTACATTACCTTTGCCTTTTGTTAGGTAAGTGACAAAGAAACTTTTCCGCGCAGATGCATAGAAAGCTTTCGTTCTACTGCTACACGCTGAATGAGAAAAAATTCCCAAGACTATGGCCCATGAAGTCTTCTTCCCTATCTGCAAGACTTTGCGATTGCTTTAGCTGGTGTCTGGCTGGTCCTGGGCTACGCAAACTCCTTACTCCACTTACCCCTTGCAATGAGTGTTGGTTTAAAAAAAAATATTAGCAATACTTACGCAGCACACATCTTAACGGTTCAAGTTCCTCTTCCTTATTGTTATATATGGAAAATGTTAAAAAAACGAAAAATTTTTTCCCTTTTTTTCAATTCGTAAGAAAAATTCAAAAAAATATTAAAAAAATTTATTGCATCAAGCGGCGCTTTCTTCTTATTCCTTTCGAAGATATGCTGTCGAAGGTGTGCGGAACGAATCCTTATTGTTTCCTTTCTTTTATATTTTTCTTTAAATGCGTTTATATTATATTTATAAAATGAATTCGTTGAATAATGGTTAGGAGGAATGAATTTTGATTGCACAATTACAAGAGCAAAAAAATTATAATTATTATTATTATTATATAACAAAAAAAAAAAAAAAAAAATTAAACACAGCCGAAAACAATTTCAACAAAATTTTGTATACGACGACAATAACGAGAAATATTTTTTAAAAAATTTTTTTCTCATAAAATCAAAAACGTATAACAGCAAATTCTTAAGCAAAACGATTAAACAAAGTGAAAAATTTTTACTCAAATATTTCAATATACACTGACTTTTAATATATACGTAATTGTAGATGTCATAAAGTATATAAAAAATAAATGGATATAATGATTGAAAGAACGAAAAACACTAAAGTTTACTATCCCTCGTCACCCTCTTTTCAGCCTGCCACTCCATTGGATGATTGAATTGAATTAATTCTGATCGTTTCGTTTTTTAATTTAATTTATTTCATTTCGCAGGCGCAGGCGCCGACACTTCAATAAGCGATTATTGATATATTATGTTGCATTTCCGGTCAATGGTGAACGAAACATTTGTGAAAAATGTTTCTTTCTTTACTTCTACCAAGTGCAGCAGCCAACTTGCTTCATCCGCGTCAAAATGCATGAAATGCAATGTCTGTGATATTGCGACTGCTCGTCTAGTTAGGTATATGTATACCCAATCTTTTTTTACATAGTAGAAACGTGCATTTGAGAACCGTGCAAAAAAAAAAAATCATGGAAAAAAGTACACGCAGAATATGGGTAATTTATTATGAAATTATGTTCGACATCTTTAAAAAGTCGCATAACATTAAAACACTTTGAATGATTTCCCTAAAAATCGTGTAAAAAAAGTAATAATGAAATCCATTTTATATATTTACAAAACAAAAACAATTCATTCAAATGAAGTATGATCATAAAATTCTTTAACAGTCACGAACACATGTGTGAGCATCAAGAAGCGAGAAAAAGAAAGAGATAAAGACTGACTGCTGTCTAGGTGTTGTGTGTCTAATCGGTAAGTATTACGTCTCCCGCTTGGAAAACCGTGACAATTGCAACGGTGTGAGGAAAGTGGAAAAGATAAGGACTAACTGCTGCCTAGTAATTGACGCGTGCTAATTAGATCCAATATTTCCTAAATTATTCCGCCAAACGAAGAGATGTGGCCCGACAGGAATAATTTCTTAATTTCTCTTAAAACTATATTGCGAACGAGTTATGAAACACCTTGAACGTCAACGTTTCCATCGTAATCGAAACACTATACTAATGACATTTATTTCAATTTTCATTTAATTCAATTTTGGAAACACGATCCCTGTTAACCTATTCGTATTTCTATATTAATTCACGTCATTGTAATTCAATAAATTTGATCTTTAATCCGATGGATTTATATTTTATATAATCGCTAAAATATGATATTCTGTTAAGCTTACTAGAATTTTAACCGAAGAGAAGTAAGTCATGAAATATTTCTTTTATCCGAAAAATAAGTAAAACTTGTGCCCGATATTTTGAATAATGTTTAGGAAATCTTTATTTTATAAAACTTTTGTGGCCTTTTAAGGCGAACAGGTGAAAAGCAAAGGAAATTAATTCAAGCAATTCACGATATCCTATAATGATCGCCAACTAACGGTGGTGGTTTTATATTCACCTGCTGATGACTAAACTAGAAATAGTGGTAAGTAAGTTTTATTTGTACGTTGGTTCTAATTCTTTTCTTTTTTATCAAGTGAAAACACTAGAGTGGGACGTGGATCATCATTAAATACTCTACAACACCTTACGTTGAACGTAGTTAGTGAAGAAAGACTGGCGGACAGACAAGCATTTTACTAAAAAAAAAACATTCTTGACCACAACATCATCCTATACTTATTCCTATAACAACTTTGGGGAAAAAGTCCAAAATGTGGTCAAATCGGAATCATTTTCATTAGGGTTCGTCCTTGGGCTGAAATATGTTGGTAAACCAAATTACATCAAAGAAGAAAATTACGAGGCTTAGGTTGACGTCTGTACAGAGGTACAGACAAGCTTAGATGGATTCACGCAATGATTCTGAATCAGTCGGTGTAATAAAAGTTGCGTTTATCTTAACTTTCTCTGAATGTCGTATATATCTGCACAAGTTAAATATATCCTTGTACCACACAAATGGAGTATAGGGTATAAAAACGAAACAATATTTATATGTTGCTTTCTTTTCCTTGATATCGTTCACACATTTTTAAACCCCTTTGCGGCTGCTTCAAACACAATTAGAAGCTTAGTCGATAGGCTCTAGCTGAGAGCATACGTTGTACGTTGTTACAGTCTGCCATTTTAATCATGGAATAATAAGAAGAATATTTGGCTGGCTCGAATTCGCTATTTGCGGTTAACTTAAATTAAAATCTATTTTAAACAACGTTTCAAAATTGTAAGGATGACGAAGCGGACAAACACACGACAGACTTCGCTGAATAAATGATTCCCGGTTTCCAGTTCTGATTCGCAAGATGGAAAATTAATGAATATAATTAATAATTTGTTAGAAGAATGTACGCAGTGGAGGACACCTTGTATTTGTTTTAGCATTCTTTTGAAGTAAGCATTTTTTATACCCTACATCGCTTGCGGTACAAGGTTATGTTAAGTTTTTGCGGATGTATTCAATATCCAGTTTCAACTTTTAGTGTAGCGTAAGTGATTCCGAACCGATCTAAGCTTGTCTGTCCATCTGTCCATCTCATTTCTTGTGTTCACTCCAGAGATTGCAATTTTCAAGATATTGTGACGAAATTTGGTGCTATGAGTGCTTTTGGCCAAAGATCGAGCATTGGTCCGATTCAATTTATTTTCCTTAGCTTTCATCCCTCAGCCAAATTACGTTAACATACAAAAATGCATGAAAATAACTAAAGAATTCCTCTAATCTATAGAAACAACTCACGCGTGGACGGACAGACAGACAGAGAGAGATAGAGAGAGAGAGAGGGAGAGAGCGAAGCATAAATCAATTTAGGATATAATTCTGAATCAACCGGTATAGCAAAAGTTGTATCTACTCTAGCTTCTTCTGGATGTCACATACATCTACACGAACTTAATCTACCCCGTAGGACATCCGCGGTGTGTGATGTAAATAAAATCACACATTTTTTGAAAGAGCTTTCAAAGTTCGCCAAGATGCAATAGTCCAAGCGTAAGTACGCATTTAAATCTAATGTATCAAGACCCATTCATGATCTAGTGATCCACTTGCAGGTACGCAGTTAATTGTTTAATATCAAAATTTCTTAAACCTTATCATTCGATTTGTGCATGTACACCGTGGATAAGTGAAATGTCGGCCTAAACATGAAACCGAATTATGTATGTATGTATTATTTCCCGTATTGTGTAACTTTATCAATTAATAATTATTGTCTGCCCCCCCCAACAATCGCAATTAATCGCTAACCATACGTAACGTCACAGTCAGTCAAGAGAAGTGAGAGAGACGTAGAAAAGTTAGTTACTAATAACATTTTTTGTTTTTTCATTTTCTGTTTTTTTTTTTATTTGTTCAAAATTAAATAGATTACAATAAAAAGTAACTTTACCTCAGCAACAAGCAAAAGATGTAAGAGAAATGAAGTCGATCAACTCGATACCCATCACTGTTATCCTAAGAAATCCCTAAAACAAGTAAGAAAGTTCGGTCGTGACCGAACCTTTTCTACCCATTACCGTTATCCTTAAAAAAGCTAAAAGAAGTAAAAGAACAACATTTTCATGCTCTATAATATGAAGCGAGCGCATCTGATTTTTTCAATTCCAGATTCTTTTGCAAAATTTATCGGCGATATCTTCATTTTCGCAAAGGGAAGAATGTTTACCACAAACACTGAACCGTTGCACAGGCAGACAGATGGACAGAGACGGAGAGGCGGACATGCTGAGACGCATTCCAATTTAAAAATTGGCCAAGAATTTGTGTACTTTATGCGGTTTGTGTGAATTATTTCGGCGCTTTATGAAGATATTTATAAGAAGAAAAATATTAAATTTTTTATACCCTATAATGTCGGGTAGGCGTGGTAAATTTTTTCCACTTTTGCACAGATACAACATCGTCCACAGAATTTAATATATATATATATATATAAATAAATCATCAAATCATATCAAATAAATGATATATATATATGAGATATATATATATAGATATATATATATACATATAGGTCGATGTAGATTGATTGATATATTAATATATATATATATATATATATATATACATATAGGTTGAAATCAGACAATTAATAAAAATTTCCTTTGATTGTTTTGATTCAATTTTTTATTTCCAAATTAGTTTATTTGATATTAACACATACTCAATACAAAATACAGTTAATTGAAAAGTTTACAAATTCTTAGTTTTTATTATAATAGTTCGAAATATAGATACCATAGATATATGTGACAAACAAAACAAACAAAAAGAACAAAGTATACGTACAAATTATTTGGTTAATACCAATTAATATGACAATAATGGATAAAAATTAGATTGTAGTAAAAATAATAAAATAAATTTTAAGTGAAAATTTCATTTATATGCTGTGTACAAACAAGAAAGACATAGAAGAAAGCGCCCAAAATAAACAAAACGATTACAAGAAGAGGCCATTTGAA